GTGCAGGCAGGAGCCAGCTACTGAGGAGGCAAATTCAGATTGCTGCAACCCAAGAGGGTTTACTGTCCCCTAAATTTGCTCACTGCTATAGCATCCTTTATTTCCTGTAGAGATACTAAGAGTGTTGAGATAGGTGTGAGTTAGACTGTGATCCACAGGACAAGACCTGAGTGCTGGGACCAGGGGCAGAAACTTTAGACAGACAGCAGGCATGGTTTTGTTGTTTGTTGGGCTCAGGGATCCTCGCCCTTCTAACACACATTGAGACTCCATTTTGTTTCATGCTCTTGTAGGATTTCTTGCAGTCAGCTGTTGGTCTTAACACTACTTGAACACAGAGAAGAGGGGAGAGTCCTGCCACATCAGTGAAGGTTGGTATGGGAGAGGGTTCACTTTTAAGTGGGGGTAGTAGAGGTTACCCTTGAGTGACTATTGTGGGATTTAGGGATTCCTCCCTCCCCCATTCAAAGCATGTGTGCTTTCTCCTCCACAATGTACCTGTTTTCCAGCAGACAAAAGGAACATTAGAGTTTTCTCATGGCTGAGCTGTGCCACTCAGCATCATGCTCTCGTGTCTCTGTGTAAGTTTCCACAGGAGGCAACAGAGCTGTGTAAGCCTCATTGCCCCGTTCTCTTTTCTTCTAGATCACCTGCAGTGGCTGCTTGGTGGTGCTGGGGTTGCTGCTGACCGCTGCAATCAACTGGTCTGCCCCCACCTAGGACCTGTCCATCTTCCTCCAGCTTGGTTTTTGCCTCTTCTGCACTGTATCTGTGTTATTGACTGAGACTGCTTGAGTAAGAGTCTCATTGGAGCTGGATTGGTGACTTACCTTTGCTTCTCACTGTATCTCTTGGCTCATCAAAAGATCATAGTGTGAAGATACAATATTGTGATAGATCTGTTGTTGTGACTAAGGCTTTGGTAGGCATTCTTAATTGAGCTTCTCTCTAGTTTTTACCATGACTGGGACAGAAGTTCAGACTGGTTCTCAGGCTAAGCCTGATAATAAGCCTCAGGAAAAGGTTGTGGGTGGGTCAGAAGGAGAAAATGAGGTTCCGTTGGTGGTCAGACCCAAAGTCAGGCCCCAGGCTACAGCAACAAGTGGTGCCAGGCCCAAAACTGAAAGTAAATCTTCCTCTAGGGCAAGGCCTAAAACTGAAATCCAGGCAGTGTCTGGAACAAGACCTAAAACTGGAGCCCAGGCAATGACTGGAGCCAGGCCTAGATCTGAGGCCCAGGCAATGACTGGAGCCAGGCCTAGATCTGAAGCCCAGATAATGACTGGTGCCAGGCCCAAAACTGATGCCAGGGCAATAGGTGGTGCTCGCCCCAAGACTGAGGCCAAGCCAATCCCAGGGGCAAGGCCTAAGGGTGATGCCCAGGCTTGGGCCCAGAGTGAGTTTGGGGCTGAGGCAATGTTACATGCTGAGGGAGCACCCTTCTCTAATGCTGTCACATGGCCACTGGTCAATGCTGAGTTTACATCAATTACTAAATCTAAGAGTCTATCTATGGATAGAAAACTGGTCAATATGGACAGAGAAACCTTTCCTGGCACCCAGGATCAGAATGGAATCCATCCTTGGTTTGGACCAGGAGAGGAGGCTAATATGGGTTCTTGGTGTTATCCCAGGCCCAGAGCTAGGGAGGAGACCTGTAATGAGTCTGGATTTTGGTCAGCTGATGAAACCTCTACAATGTCTTCTTACTGGACTGGAGAGGAGCCTGGTATCAGATCCTGGCCCAGGGAAGAGGTGAATACTAGATCCAGGCACAGGGCTAAACATCAGACTAATGTCAGGGCCAGGCCCAGATCCAAACAAGAACCCTATATTGATTCTTGGTCTGGGTCTGAGGATGAGGCGGGCAACCCATTCTGCTTTTGGGCTGGAGAAAATACTAATGACTTGCTTAGACCCAGAGGCAGGGAGGAGGCTAATGTCAGACCCAATACCAGGACAAAGAGGGAGGACTATTTTGAATCTGAAGATGAAGATGAGTTCTATAAAGAGTCCTGGTTTTTGCCTGCGGAAAAAGCTAATAGATTCAGGCGCAGAGACAAGGAAGAGTCTAATAACTCCTTGGAAAAGAGGAACCAAAAATATGTTAAAAATGGTGACAGAGTCCAACAAGAGTCCAGGTTTGAGGAGGAAGTGATTATTGGGTCCTGGTTCTGGGCAGAACAAGAGACCAGTTTGGAGGCTGGAGCTTCAGCAATCTGTGAATCTGAACCAGGGGCTGAAGAGGGAGCCATTGGCGGATCGTTGTTCTGGACTGAAGAAAAGTCCAGTTTGGGAGCTGTGGCCAGAGATGAGGTCAATCCTGAGTCTGAAGAAGAGGCCATATTTGGGTCTTGGTTTTGGGATAGAGATGAGGCATGTTTTGACCCAAATCCCACTCCTGTGTACAGGGTTAAGAGCAGGTTCAGAGATCTAGCTGAGGAGGAGCTTAATGAAGCATCTAGGCCCAAATCCTGGGATGAGGTTACTATTGAATTCAAACCTGCTCCTTCCAGTGGGCTTGGCTTCCCTTCCACACGACCCTTTATAATTTCTGAAGAACCTTCTGAAAATGCTGAGGCAAAAGCCAAGAATGTGGAACTTGGTGCAGAAGGGGAAGAGCAGGATTCTGTGCCTCGGCCTGATCTTCCTGAACCTGAGTTCCCATTTCAGTATGATCCCTCTTACCGGTCAGTCCGGGAAATTCGAGAGCATCTTAAGGCCAGGGAATGTGCACAGCCTGAGAATTGGTCTTGCACCTGTATCCAGTGTGAGCTTAAAATTGGTTCCGCAGAGTTTGAGGAACTTCTTTTACTGATGGAAAGAATTCGCGATCCATTTATCCATGAAATATCTAAAATTGTAATGGGCATGAGAACTGCTTCTCAGTTTACCCGAGATTTCATTCGAGATTCTGGTGTTGTCTCACTTATTGAAACCCTGATGAATTATCCTTCCTCCAGAGTTAGGACCAACTTTTTGGAAAACATGGTCCACATGGCTCCACCTTATCCAAATCTAAACATGATTGAGACATTTATTTGTCAAGTGTGTGAGGAAACCCTTTCCCATAGTGTGGATTCCCTTGAGCAGCTAACTGGAATAAGGATGCTTAGACACCTCACCATAACTACTGACTATCACACACTTATTGCCAATTATATGTCCGGGTTTCTCACCTTATTAACCACAGGCAATGCAAGAACAAAGTTTCATGTTCTAAAAATGTTGTTGAACTTGTCTGACAATCCTATGGTGGCAAAAAAACTATTCAGTGCCAAAGCTCTCTCAATATTTGTGGGCCTCTTTAACATAGAGGAGACAAATGATAACATTCAGATTGTTATTAAGATGTTTCAGAATATCAGCAGTATTGTAAAAAGTGGAGCAATGTCTTTAATTGATGATGATTTCAGTCTTGAGCCGCTTGTTTCTGCATTCCATGAATTTGAAGAGCTAGCTAAACGGCTGCAAATCCAAATAGATAATCAAAATGATCCTGAAGAAGGACAATAAAGTTGTGTGATTAACCACCTGCCACTTATCAGCCTTATGTTCCCAAAGAGCCCTAAATAGTGCTTTCGTGTGCACAGTCTGGTTCTGTGTTTATATTTTTAATGCTAATGTGAACTTGTCAAACTCTTGTGGTGAGCTGAATCATTTGTGGATGCCAAAATGAATATCAGAACTGAAAACACATTTGTTGATATTTGTTTTACTGTCCAGATTGTGATACTTTTTAGTGTTGAGCTCCCAGTGAACCAAGTCATACGAGTAAGCTATCCTGCTATTTGCTGTTTAAACATGTGGTTCTCTACTTGAGTCTGTGTTTTCAATAAAGTTCGGTGTTAAAATGGCATAAATGGCCCTTCTTCACTTTAAAAAGCAGGTGCAGATACATTATGCACATTTGAAAATACAACAGCCTTGCCAGGCCACAGAGGAGGACAGGGCAGCCAGTCCTGGAGATACCTGATAAACAAGGGTCAAATGGAAGCAGAGGAGGACCTCCCCTATCAGTGGACTTGGAAAGGAGCAGGGAGGAGATGAGGGAAGGAGGGTGGGATTGGGAGGGAATGAGGGAGGGTGCTACAGCTGGGATACAAAGTAAATAACCTGTGATTAATATAAAAAATAAAAATTAATAAAAAAAATAGATGGTTAGTATTAGAACAAACACATGCTTACTAGAAAATCCCATTTTAGGAAGGGGGATTATTGTGAGGTTTTGTACTCAAGAAAGGTTTCAGAGAAGGGAATGTAGATAAAGCAGTCACTGAACAGTAAGCATTCTTGTAAATGAACCCTGATGTGAAGAAAGGTGTGTAGTAGGAAGATATGTCCCAATAGCATGAATGACATGGTTGAAATAAGTGAGAGAAGCTTAGAAAGGGATACAGCTACAAAATTGGGATAAGTTAAGTTTTCAGGAACTGAGTAACACAAACTGCAGCTAGTAAATAAAAGTGTAGATTTTGTTTTTTAAAAAAGGTGAGTGAAAAATACTCTAATTCTATGATTCTCAACATGTGGGTCACAACCCCATCAGCAAACATCTATATCCAAATATATTTACATTATAACTCATAACCGTAGCAAAATTTCACTTGAAGTAGCAATGAGATAATTTTGCAGTTGGGTCTCACCACAACATAAGGTACTAGATTTCTATCTGGCGCTTTCTCAGACAATTAGGAATAGTGCTTCCTCAAGACCCAGCTATACCACTGCTAGGTATATACCCAAACTTTGCTCAAGTACACAAAAGGGATACTTGCTCAACCATGTTTATAGCAGCTTTATTTGTAATAGCCAGAGCCTGGAAACAACACAGATGTCCATCAACGGAGGAATGGGTACAGAAATTGTGGTATTTTTACACAATGGAATACTACTCAGCAATCAAAAAGGAGGAAATCATGAAATTTGCAGGCAAATGGTGGGATCTAGGAAAGATCATTCTGAGTGAAATATCCCAGAAGGAGAAAGACAAACATGGTATATACTCATTTATATAGACCTATAAGATATGATAAACATAATGAAATCTAAAAAGATAATCAAGAGAGCAGACATGGGTAAGATGATCAATCCTCGTTTAGAAAGACAGATGGGATGTGCATGGAACATATGACAGGAGTCTACTGAGCACATCTCAAGGACTCTAACTAGCAGTGTTTTCAAAGCAAACACTCATGACCAAACCTTCGGCAGAGTACAGGGAATCATAAGAAAGAAGGGGAGTTAGTCTGATGGGGAAAGGATAGGAGCTCCACAAGGACCAAATATACCTGGGCACAGGGTCTTTTCTGAGACTGACATTCAACCAAGGACCATGTATGGATATAACCTAGAACCTCTGCTCAGATGTAGCCTCTGGTAGCTCAGTAACCAATTGGTTTCCCATAGTGAGGGGAACAAGGACTATTTCTAACAGGAACTCAATGACTGGCTCTTTGACCTCCCCACCCCGCAAGGGAGGAGCAGTCCTGTTAGGACACAGAGGAGGGCTTTGCATCTAGTCCTGAAGATACCTGATAAAACAGGATCAGATGAATGGGGAGGAGGTCCCCCTATCAGTGGACTTGGCAAGGGGCACGGTGGAGAGGAGGGAGGGAGGGTGGGATTGGGAGGGAATGAGGGAGCGGGATACAGCTGGGATACAGAGTTAATAAAATGTAAGATAAGATAAGAAAAAAATAAAATTAAAAAAAGAAAAAAAAATAATAAAACTCTTAGAAGAATCACAAATCAAAAAAAAAAAAAAAACATTAAGAAGGTTGAGAACTACTGTGTCTAATTTAATAGGCCCAGAAGTAATATTTCTTGTATGATGATAGTCCAAAGAAAGTATTAAGGGAACATTGTACAACCATTATGTGTAACTATATATGGATTGATTTATTAGCATGAAACATTAGTAATTTTTTTCTTGGGTTTTTGGAGGTAGGGTTTCTGTAAAGCCCTGGCTGTCCTGGAACTTGCTCTGTAGACCAGGCTGGCCTCTAACTATCCACCTTCCTCTGCCTCCAAAGTGCTGGGATTAAAGGTGTGAGCCACCACCACCTCGAAATATTAGTAGATTTATATATGTAAAACTAAAAAGAATTTGGCATCAAATTTGAAAATTAAATCTTACTTTAAATTTTGTGCATGAATAAAATGGGTGCATCTCATTGTGGTGAAGGAGTTTTATATAGCCCTGATCTAGATTGAAATATGCAATGTTAAATTAGAGAAAAGCATTGAATAAACAAAAAAATTAGCAAAACACACAAAAGTTAGTATGTTTCCATCTAGTGACTCTGGTTGTAGGTGGGCCTGTGTGGGAGCTAAGTTTGTATAAACAACTAACCTACAGTGTTAAAAAAAACGTTTAGAGATAAAGTGATTTAGCAAAGTTATAAATGAACGAGACTTCAGAACCAGGCTTACTAAATTTGTATAAGGCTGTTGGTACAAAAAAAAATGAAATTTCTCGTGTAATTATTACACTGAAACAATTATAACACTTCCTTTTTAGGTGGCAACACAGTTCTGGAACTAGACAGTGGTGATGGTTCCAACAACCTTGTGAATGTACTTATGTCACTGAATTGTTTACTTTAAATTGATTAAAATGTTAAGTTTTACGTTCTATGTATTTTGCCACAACAAAAAAGCCACAGACTACAGTCAAACTTCATAGAGGAGTATTTCACAAGTCAGGAATGAAGTTGATTTGGAGACAGATTACAAACTGTTGGAAATATACAATGTTTCATTATTTTTAGATAGGAGAAAACTTATGTTCTTTGATCTGAGAATGCTATATATTTTCAAACAGTTAAAATTGTGACTTGTGTTAATTGATATGAGCATAGTGAAAGAATTTTACCAACACAATGAACAACTGCTAATATCAAGAAGCAGTGAAAGAAGATGTGTGTATTTCACATATACAAGATAAAGATAAAAACAAGATACCAAACTTTGTACATACAGTGAATTAAATGATAGAATAATATTACAGAATTATATAAAAAAACCTATCACCATCTTACATGCAACACTTTGAAATATTTAATATTATCCATACTGTTGGACAAATCTTTTTTCTATATCTAGTGAGTGATATCTACAAGTTAATATCAGCTGCAGCAAGAATCAAAAGTAGTTCAATCAATAGAATGTGGAGTCCTAAGGTATACTAAAATAATATCTAGTAGCCTGTGTTGATTTTGCCCAAAGACTGTGTAATGTACCTGGCAGTACAGGATTTTCCTACTTTGTTTTATCATATAAAATTTAGAAATAGGGCAAAGTGGCAATTTAGTCTCTCTTTACAAACCACAAACCTTACATAGGGATAATTCTTATGGTAGTAACTATAATTTAGATGTTTGTTTTATTGACATATTTTGAGATTTTCTGTGTGTTTTCATATGTTTGAATATTGTATAAATTAGTGCTAAAGAATCAATTTATGACTCAACTCCCAAGGGAACCTTCCTTCCTTCCTTCCTTCCTTCCTTCCTTCCTTCCTTCCTTCCTTCCTTCCTTCCTTCCTTCCTTCCTCCTTTCCTCCTTTCTCTTTCTTTCTTTCTTTCTTTCTTTCCTCTCTCCCTCCTTCCCTCCCTACCTCTCTCTCGCTCTCTCTCCCTCCTTCCTTCCTTTCTCTAGGCCAAGCATTTTTAGAGAGCACCACCCAGGCTTCAGGTGGAAGTTTTGACTGTTAACCCAGCCAGCCTTCCTGCTCTGTCTTCAGGGTAAAGAGGAAACATACAATATAGAATAACCCCACTAAAATTTGTACATCTAAACAAACTAAGCAAAAGAGAGGACCCTAACTAAAATGTTCAATCCCCATCCTGAAAGGCAAAGAGGATGGACATCAGAAGAAAAAGAAAATAGGAAACAACCTCGGAACCTGCTACAGAGGGCCTCTGAAAGCCAGAAGAAAACAGGAAACAACCTTGAAACCTGCCACAGAGTGCCTCTGAAAGCTTCTGCAGTATAGACTGTCAAAGCAGATGCTGAGCCTGATGGTCAACTGATGGGCAGAGTGAATGGAATTTTATGTAAGAAGTGGGAAATAGTAAGAGCTGGAGGGGACGGGAACTCCACAAGGAGAGCAACAGAACAAGATAATTTGAACACAGGGACCTTCCCAGAGACTCATACTCCAACCAAGGACTATTCGTGGAGATGACCTGGAACCCCTGCACAGGTGTAGCCCATGGAAGTTCAGTGTCCAAGTGGGTTACATAGTAATGGGAAGAGGGACTGCCTCTGACATAATCTGATTGGCCTGCTCGTTGATCACTTCCCCCTGAGGGGGGAGCAGCCTTATCAGGCCACAGTAGAGGACAATGCAGCCACTTTTGAGGAGAACTGATAGACTAAGATCAGAAAGAAGAGGAGAACCTCCCCTATCAGTGGACTTGGGGAGTGGCATGCATGCAGAAAGGGGAAGGAGGGTGGGGTCGGGAGGGGCAGAGCGAGGGGCTTATGGGGGGATACAAAATGAATAAAGTGTAATTAATAAAAAAAAAAACTAAAAAAAAAAAAAAAAGAGGTTCGAATTCTTCTTGTATAGAACTCAACACCAGAGGAAGAATATTCTATCCCTGATGTTTCAGAGCTACTACAGATACTCTGGTAGTCATACTGGTCTGATGCAGAGTTGTATGATGAGGCTTTTCCTTGGGCAGGCAAAGAGGTGTGTCTACTGTCATGGAGAAGGAAAGAAAGACATATACCTTACAATTGGGATAGATAGAACAGGGGGCAGTAGGTTAAGGTAGCTGAGCTGGTGTCCATGCTGTGTTAGCCTGAAAACCAGTTTTTTAATGTGTCCAGAATGACAGCATTAATT